TATACCACTATGGCTGTATTGATGCCAGTGGGATCGCAAGGAAGAAGAATTCGATGGTTTATTTTCAGAAAGTCTTTGGGTCCCCTGTGTGAAAGTTCATACCCCAAAGTGGAGGGGACGTGTCTGAACGCCTTGTAAAACTTACTCCTGGTTCAAACACAGACTAAGGTCCCCCATTTGAGTAGCCCTGTAACCCTCCAAAAATGTGAGGTGTACACTGAAAATATATTTCACATCCCTAAAAATTTAAAATACATTAGTTTTAAGAGTAACAAATAATATGAGGTATAACTACCAAGATATTATAATTTTGGCCATGGAGAAGATAAACTGGGAGTTCAACCACAGTATACATCTCAGTGTTGTAAGGATATGAGCACATTCTGATACATTTTTGTTTGTTTCTATATGAGTGTCATTTATCTGGACTCAAAACCAATGCTATTGTTAAGTCACTTCTAAAGACTCATTCTGCCACGTGGTACAGCACTCTTGGCCACACAGTCTCCAGTTCACGCATGTGTGTACAGTGCGGTGTCTCTTCTCAGCAGCAGCAGCAGGCAGCCACCGACTGAGAACTGGAGAGGCTGCCAGAGGAGAGTGGCAGTGGGGACGGGATGGCTCAGCTGTGTCACCTCGCAGGTGCGCTCCTTCAGAACAGGCTGTTCTTCCACTTCCCTCTGCTCTGCTCGCAACTGAAAGTTATCGGGACAAATGTACCTTCAAAACACAGTGTGGATGCCCATACTGCATATCTCTTTTTTTTTATCTGACCATTTTACTGCAGTGTTTTGCATTCGTTTTGGAGGTCTGCAAGACTGTGTTTTGTTTGCCATGTCCTTCAAAAGTAAACACATCTGGCGACATGTTGCTTCTTCTCACTAGGCCTGTCCTCATACTCAGGGAGTGAACAGAATTGCCTCTTTAATTTCACTGTTCCCAGAGATGTGTTTTCGGCATTTTTCATGGATTCATAACGTACATGTCATTGCAGGGATGCACTCTCTCTGCTGCATCGTCCCCAGGGTGAGCTGTGCCGCAGGGTCCTAGAGAGCACAGATGACACCATCAGTTGTACAGATGACCAATTCTACATCTGGGCTGCCTTTCTTTTGGCCTTTTTTTTCCCATTTTTTTGCGAGACAGGGGCTTGTCACAAAACCGTTTTGAGCATGTGCGAGACACTTAACAATATGGTAAATATACATCCCTTGTCTTCCCTGACAGAGAAGCTTTCTAAAATCTGGACGGTACTTCAAAACCATGAAGCGCTTTTCCAACAAACAATCTTTTTGTGTCTCACTCCAGATAGGCTTTGGTTTTCTCTACAATAGTAATGTGGTGCATTAGAGTTTTAAGAAATGTATCTCTATTTCCTGGTCTCCCTCACAAAATATAAATCACTGTTAACATTGCTATTACACAATGAAAGTCAGTGCTTGTTGAACTCAAGGTTACACTTAACCTATCTTTGAAACTCATTTTGTGTAAATAAAACATAATATTAAATAAAATAGGAGGAATTCACTAAGATGAACAGAAATGTTTAGAAAAGAGCTCAGGGTACATGAACTGGTTCCTAAGACATGAGAGAACACCTCCTGTTTCTTGTGGAGAGCTTCTCTTTGGAAGTTGGCCTTCTCACCAGGGGCTCAGCAGCTTTCTGGTGGCATATCCTGGTCTCAGAAAGATCTTTCTAAAATGCCTTGTTTAGTTCTCTGTCTGAATCTATAAGGTATTCAGAATCTCTCTCTTTTTCATGGTTACCGGCGGATCAGGCAAATAACACCGCTTTGTGCCTCTATATGTCTTGCTCAACAGCTCTCTGATTGTCGTCCCCTTGCATGTCCTTTTTCTTTTCACAAGGGCCACTTACAAAGAAGATCGGTTAAGACCGATCATGGGACTGACGTTCACCTGTACCCATGTAACCTGCCGATGGCTTTGTTGGAAATCCACCTAGCTCTAGAAAAAAGCATAACTGTTCATTGCTGTTGTTGAAACTTTTCTTCTTTACTTCGCTGGCACAGAGCTTGGGGATGTTTTGGTAGTATTCCAGGGTTAATAGTCTTTCTGCCCAACCAGCCGCTGTTAAATGTTGGCTCTCAAGGCTTTTCCTTTGCCCATTAATCTCAGATCTGTTGAGGCCAGTAAGGCAGTGAGGTGTGCATCTCTGTTTTTACAGTGCTAATGATAGACTTGTAAAGGGGGGGGAGGTTGTTACTGGGGTTTTGCTGTAACCCTGACTCTTTTTCCTGGGCATAGCTATACTTTGACATGGTGTGCTTGAACTTACAGATCAAAGAGAATTACCAGAATGATCCACTTGTGAATTGTGGGCCATTATCTGTTATTAACTCATCTTGAGCACTGTGGTGAGCAAACTGTAATTTACAGTATGTTATTACATTTCTGCTCACTGTCGTGTGCAGCAGCTGAATGTGTGTGTGGTAGTCCATAACGAGAAGTAATCTTTTCTAGCTAATTCAAACAGGTCTTTGCCAACCTCTACTAAGGTTGATCAAGAATTTAATTTACTTCTAATAATTTTGTTTTTCTGCTTCCTGCCCCTCCCACCACATTTAGGAGAGGAGAAGGTTTCACCTTCTCTGTTTCTCTTCGGTACATGCTTGCTTCCAGGAAAACTTGGAAGCAGAGCAACAACCTCCTCCAGTTCTCTGCCAGATTTCCTTCAGGATTTAATGATTCAGGTGGCTTCATTTGCTAAATTTTTGCCAAAAAAAAGTAGTTCTCTACTGACACCATATAATAAAGTTGAGCAAACAGGAGGGCTGGTAGGAGACCTATTTTTATTGCCTGGGTCTAGTCACATGACAGATCAGGTTACAAAATACTAATACCCCTGCCAACTCTCAGGATCCACCAATTCCTCTTGCTACTGTTTTAATCCAACCTGTCTTTTCTTTTTTCTTTTCGTTTTTCCTTTTTTTTCTGAGGGCAGGGGATGAGAGGGAAGGCATCAGACTGGGGCAGGAGATAGAGTGAAAAGCAAGTATATCATGATTGGGAGTATCCCTTTAGCTCCTTCAGTGTTTGTTCAGCACTTTTTCGCCAGCTGAATAGCTTTTTCCCTCTGAGTGTTGGCAGCCTTTGGCAAAAGTAAAGCAATGTCAGCATTCCCCTGTTCCATCTATTTTTTGGCAAAGAATCGTTAAAAATATTCCATTTTCACCTTGTTTGCAAGTTGTGATGGAGGCTTCTCCCCCAGTTAAATTGTGACATTCTGGCTTGAAAAACAGCTTCAAGATCAGGAAGATAAGCGAACACACACACACACACACACACAAAAATCCTCCTTCTTTCTTATGGAAAGAAATTCAGCAATTCAGTGGAGCCACTTCTTTTATTAGCAGTGACACAAATATATTTTCAGAAAAATTGCTGATAAAACAACAGATTTGAAAAATGTAAACTTTATGCAACTCTCTGGAGTTCTTCACAGTGGTTTCCACTTTGTCCCTTCTTCCACCATACAGCAGAACCGGAAGCTTTGGTGTTAAAGGTTCCTGCAAGGCATCCACCCAGACAGGTAGATGCCCAATATTTTTGTACAGTCTCTGATGCCGCAGCTACACTGCTACTGATACCTCAGCTACATTAAGGTGGGCACAACTATGTCTGCAGCGTACCGAAGGCACACCTCAGCAACAGAAGTAGTTCCTACTAGTGGGCTGAGATTTTTGTGCAAAAGGGGAAAAAAACTCCATGGTGCTCATCCCACAGGCACTGATGCTTTTTGTTGCGTAAAAGGTGTAGAGAGTAACTACACATCTTTCTCCACCTTTATGAAAGAAGAGCTGTGGTACAGAGAAGTTAGGAGACTGGTTCAAGGCAACACAAGACTTCTCTGGTGAATTCAAGAGTCAGAATGCAGGTGAGAGTTGTAGTCCCCATGTTTCAGCTACGAGACCACCCATCTTCTCTTTTGGCAAGCATGAGTGGAAGTGCACTTCTTCTGCCTTCCAGTGTCTGTGACCATGGTAGTTTCCAAGGGGGAGTATGTTGCAATTGTTTTAGTTTTTCCATTTCTGCTCTTCTTTCACAAGTGGCCTATAAAATTCTGCAATGCTATTGCATCGTCCTCATTCAGAGCTCTTTTGAAAACACAACCCTACTCTGATTTCTGACAAAACAACCTCTTGTAATTAGGAGTTTGTTATGACTGCTCCTGCAACCGGGCAGGGTTAGAGGAAGTATGTGTCAGCAATGACTCCTTGCATCCACCTGCCTTCACTTGTTGTGGACGCTGACTGTAAGCTTTTAGGGGCAGGGACCATCGCTTTCTACAGTTGTACAAGGCTTTGGTCTGTCAGTACTTCCGACCACAGCATTGATGATGTCCTCTTAGAGTGCCCGTTTTCAGAAGATTTAAATAACACGTATTCCTCGCTTCAGTTTTTATGAGATTTTTAATGCTATGAGAAACAATGACATTTATTTTTCTGAAGTCTTTCCTCCTCAACTGCAAATAATACAAGTGCAAAAACATCAGGAGGATAATACCATCCACAGTTAGGGAAATGCAGTGTTGGATCTCTACACTTCCTTTGACTCCAACATAATGGAGTTAATTTAATAAACTGATAGATTTTGATAAATCATGGCCGTGTTGTGATGACCTGCTTCTTGGGTATTTGTTTCCTTGTTCTTTAGGCAGTTTCATTTCTGTGTGTGCAATCACAGCACCCTCTACTGCCTCTTGCTTAACCTGCAAAAGGACAGCAAATGATTGTAAACTCTAAAAATGACTTTTGGAGTGACTAGACTCTCTGATTATGAAGTGTTGTTTTATATATGAAACAACACCCCCACCATGAGAATGGTAACGCAAGAAGGTATTTCAGTTCCGTCTAGAATGCAGTCCTGAGCTCCTAAATGAACAGTATGAATTCCTCAGGGGCTCAAGCACCTATCAGCCTGAGGGAAGTTTTTCCCTTTTAGCTGTATGTAAGGCATTATCTTCCCCTTCTGTTAGGTCCATGGAGGAAAAAGAAATCAACTTTCCTAGTGAGAAACATGAAGTGGCACTGGATCAAATGCTACTTCTGTGTGTTCCCAGATCAACTAACCTGGGCCTGACAGAAAACTCCCCCTTTCCAGAATCTGCCCCTCAGGAGATTCAAGTATTACGGGTGTGAAGTGCCCTCTCGCCCCACCCAGATGCTGGTTTCCTCTTAGCCGTTTCTTGTACAAATCTAGGGATCTTGTTCATTTAGGCTCACATCACACCCTTCACCCTCTAAGCCTTTGGCCAGTCACACTCGCCAGGACTCTTCGCACCAGCCATTTCGGCACTTCACTGGAAACGATGGCCAGCTGCAGTTCTGTGTTTTCACGAGGAGCTAACGTGGCAGCTTGCGAGCTGTTCCTGGCGCCTCGGGCCACTGAGGCACACGCAAGTTGAAACACCCGCTCCAACTAATGGGAAGTAGGGAGCCAGGGCTGGTTTATGACCTCCCACCCCTGTGGTTTGTGCAGCGCCCAGGCAAGCGTCCCGCTTCTTAGCAGGCCGAGCGCAGCCACCCGCGGGTGCACCGAGGCCCACTCGCAGGCCATCGTTCAGACCTCGAGTCCCAGCCGGCGGGTTACGCGAGGCCGCGGGGACATGGCCGCCTAGGTGAGGCAGCGCCGGGCCTGTCACGGTAACGCGGCGTTTGAGGAAGAGCTGAAATCTTGGTGCCGCTCCTCCAGGCTGCGTGCGCACCAGTTGTTTGCCTGGGGAAAACCCCGCACTGCGGCCGTCACCGGACAGCCGCGGGGGGGGGTATAACGGCG